AATCCCTTTTATCATAATTGTGACTCCTTCACAATTTGCTCGAAACCCGAAATTGATAGGTATATCTAATATATAAAAAAGGTAAATCATTAAAATCCCAATATTAAAAAGAACTATAATTTGAAATTTGCATTCTATAATGCCACGTCCTACTAAAAGAAAACAACATACATCTCAATTATTTAGAAAACGAGGTCGTTTTGTATCACAAGAAGAAGAAATGATACAAGATATAAAAACAATGCAAGATGAAATGCTACAGGATGAAATTATACAAAAAAATACCATTACACAGAAAGAGAATATTAAAACAAGACATAATAGATCACTATATACTGGAAAATCAAGAACAACAGCCTGGAGAAAAAAACGAAAAGTTGAAGTATCATTAAATGCTGAAATATTACCTGATTTGTTGCATCTATTCCCAGCTGCTAACATTATAGAACAATTACGATTGCCACAACCATCTTTGGCAGCACTATTAGCCAATGCTTTATCATTAGTATTACGATTATATTCATCAAAACCATCCACTGATACTAAAGATGGGTTCCTAAATCATGTGATACTAAATATCACCTGGTTTAGGTTATATGTAGATCAATTTAGGTTATAAAAATTTAATAATAAAAACAGGTGACAAATAGTTATCACCTGTTTAGGGACCCATCTTTAACTGATACTATTCAAATGTCTCCTCAAACGATTATATCATCATCTACTGAAATTACTGTGAAATTGCAAATGTGCTTGAAAGAGGTTAATCAACATTGCACAATTGTAAAATCTTCGAAGGCTAATGCACCTATATATAATTATTTGCGTCTTTTAAGTATAAGTAGATATATAAAGTTGTTATTAGATGGATGAAGCAAGATGGACGCAAGTATTCATCTTGCGCAGACTATATGGGGTAAAGGAAACTATATAACAAAACACATTAGAAAATGAGGAAATCATTATGTAAAAACAGGAAAGCTCCTTATTGATCGTCAGGGAAAGCATGCTAAGTTGAAAAGCTTGATCAAAAATAAAGATTTTTCTGATAATTGTCAAGCTTGGTTACATCAGAAAAAACCTGAGTCACGTTCTCCTAATGTATTAAAGATGTATATCGAAGGGATAGTATTTTCTCAAATGGTAGAACAGATTAAAAAAAACACTATTTCTGAAAGAACATGTCGAACTTACATGCACTTGTGGGGGTTTAGAATTAGTTCAAGTAACACATGATGAATGCCATTTTTATGCAAATGATGATCAACGGAGAATATGGATTGGAAAAGATGAAGATATCTTATGTCCAAAAGACAAAGGATGTTCTGTCATGGTTTCTGCCTTCCTCTGCCCATGTCACAAATTACTACGACTATCTGATGAACAAATGAGGGTAAATCCATACATAAAGTATAAGGAAGCATTTATTCTTTGCTCCATATAGTTGGACGGATACTGGAAATCGAAACATATGTTGGAACAATTACTGCAACAAGCAATTCCAATATTTGAAGTGCTTTATCCTGACTGTATTGGAGTTTTCTGTTTCGATCAATCAACAAATCACAATTCAATGGCTGAAAATGCATTAATTGTAACAAAAATGAATCTGGGTCCAGGGGGGTCGCAACCTAAAATGCGTAATGGTTGGTACATTAATGAAAATGGAGAGAGAATCACACAGTTAATGGTATTTTCAGATAATTATGAAGTGGCGAAGTTGAGAAAGGAACCAAAAGGAATTAAACAAATACTTGAAGATCATAAACTATGGCTATCAAAAGGTGTTAGATTAGTATGTAAAAACTGTAAAAAAAAAGATAGTAATTCAAAAAGATTGGACTGTTGTGTACGATAAATAATATCACAGCAGCCTGATTTTCGTGAACAAAAATCAATTTTAAAAGAAGCAATCCTTAAAAAAGAACATATTTTTGAATGATATCCAAAATTCCACTGTGAGTGTAATTTTATAGAAAGATATTGGGGCTATATAAAACAAGAAACAAGAAAATCATGCAGTTATAATTATGCTGACTTACTACAAAAAGTTCCAAAGGCTCTTGTTAGTGTCCCTGTAACAACAATTCGCAAATTCGTTCAAAAATCTTGGAGATACATGGATGCTTACGACAAAGGTTTAGAAGGTAAAACTGCTGAATGGGCTGTCAGTAAATACAAGTCTCATCGGTGTTTATCTGAAAACATTGAAAAAGAAATGGATTTAGATAAATAATTGGTTGGATAACTTAGCATTTTATTTTTTTTTTACAAGTTTAAATGGATTAAATGTATAATTATATAAAAATTCTTTTCATTTGAAAAACGAATTTGTTAAATCTTTTATTAGATATAAAAATAAATCTATAAGTGATTCTTCATAGACTATTTCACAATATAAAAAAATGTACCGTTGAATTGAAACTTTTTTATTGATTAATCAAGATAATGAGACGCGATTTTATTGGTCAACCACAATCATGAGAAAATTGAAACATTTCACGTGATTGGCGCTTATAGATTTCCGGCACCATAAAAAAATTTTTTTTTCCGGACCAATACTCGCACAGCACAAATTTTCGTATATAAAGTAGTATACCTACCATGTCTATTTCTAAAACCGAACACAATGCATATTTAGTCGAATACTGGGATACTGAAACCCTTATCCTTCACCTGCAAGAGCAGGGCCTAAAGCTTGACGATGAGGACTTCGCTATTATCCGCAAAGAAAAGATCGTTGGCCTTGACTTCCTTGACTTGACCGAAGAAAAGTTCCGTAGTTATGGGCTTGCAGGTGGACCAGCAATGAGACTCGCAAAAGAGGCAAATGCTCTCAAAACCGCACCGAAGCGTCCTTTCTCCTCATACCGCAGTTTGAAAGAAGTGTTGGCGAAATATGACCTTAACAACGGGGTGACGAGTATTCCGCAATTTAAACCAGGTAAGTAGCTGATCTTCGTTACAGATTTATTTTTCCTATACTAATCTACGAATCCCTATTAGACATTCACCAATTCGACGATGACGATGAGGAATTCCTTCATTGTGTAAAGGACATAAAAAACAGGTTGAGTAATATGGGAACGGTTGTTGACAGCAACGAAGCAATGCGCTGTGAGTATATATCAGCGATCCTACACGCATCAATCCGTATAGTCAGGCGAATCACCGAAAAAGGTCTTACTATAACTCCACAGTTTGAGATCGTTGGCGAGGGAAGCACTGGTCGTGTCGACTACGCAATCAAGAAAATCATAGATAAAGTGATAGAGGAGATAATTTGCGTGACTGAGGGGAAACAATATCAAGTATCTATCGGATATGCTCAAAATCTAATGCAATGCAAAAGTTCTTATCAAACGAATGAAAGAAAACGAAAAGCTGACAAAGCATTTGGGGACTCCTATTACGACTATATCTATGGTATTGTCTCTACCGGTACAGATTGGCACTTTATTTTGTATTCAACGGAAGGTATATTTTGCACAAGCGAAACTGAATATCATATTTCACTTACCAAAGCCGTCCTCGATAATGACACAGATTTACGCAAGGGGGTTAAAAGGGTGATGGAAGTAATCGTTGGTTTGTTAAAAGATAGAGTAATGATTGATAGTGCACCCGATATAAAAAGACGTCGAGTAGAAGAAATCAAAAAGTAATTATGTAGGGAAATATGTATACCGAGCTTTATTTCCTTAGCTGAAAGTTAGTCTTCACATGTATTTTAGATGCCCTAGGCATCAGCTCCGCTATATTATATTAATAAAGTAATCAGACCTAAATGGTCATTCCTTATTTCGGTATTTGTGCGTGGTGTTATTATTGAGATTATCGTTTAAGACAAGGAAGTGAAATACTGCGCCATAGTCACATGACCTGAACTTCGTTCAGGGAGTTCCTAAAATAATAAATGCTAAAAAATACATATGATTTTCCAATGAATTCATTGAATTTTTTCATAGAATAAGTAAAAGTGATATTATAAAACATTTATTTTGTATTTGGAATTTTTTCATGGAAATATGTAACTGAATTATTCTGTGGAATGCCATTCCATAAAGATTACTCAAATCTTATTGCCCAATTACCTCCATCGATTGTCAATGAAGCATGGATGCGTCTCACTGCTCGAAAACGCAATCCATTAACTGAAGAGGAGGCAAGTAACATTAACCCGATTATTGAATCTTTTTTAAAACATGAAATTGATAGGTATCAACAAAAAAAACACCATCAACGCCATGATCCCAATTCTATATCAAAATTTCTGACTAATTTATCTTTGGATAAAGAACACTATATAACTGAGACTTCTGTTAATAAAGTACTTGTGCACAGTTCCTATACCAAAGAAGAATTTAATATGCGATTAAAAGAAGAAACTGATGCATTGCGACTAAAATTTATTGAAGCTTCAAAGCAAAGAATACTAGAAATTAATATTGCTTTATTCCGCAAATCTGCAAAATTATGTGTTGAAACAATAAAAAGCTGGATTCGAGATGGAAGTATATATGTTAGAATTCGTGAACTTGAAATAAAAAATGGAAATAATTATTCAGATTGAAAAAAGTAGGAGCATAGTAGATTTGATTTTTAATCGATTTTTATTTTTTTGTCGAATTCAATAGTAGGCTCAACAGTAGACTCAACAGTAGACTCGTTTGAAGACTGGCCCATGCTATTGTTGACTTGAGTAGACTCAACTGAAGGCTGGCTTATACCAATGTTAATTCTACATTTAATAGTTTGAAAATGTCGCTTCAACAAATATGGATACTGAAATAGTCTGTGGCATAAGTGACAAGTTCTATCAGACATATCATGAATTATTGATTTTTTTTTAATTTCAAACTATTCAATTCTTTGGGAGCATACCATTCCTCGGTATCTTGTATTGCTAAATTATTGCAAAGCAATGACCTTTCGAGTTTACAAATATGCTCAGTTTGAATTGACACAAAACACATATATCCATCATCACCAATCATTTGAAATTAGTCTTTATTAGTATCTATAATACCACCAACTTGCTTAATCCAAGGCATTCCAAGTACAATAGGATGACCTAAATTTTTGATTACCAAAAAGTTACCTTCATTAGTTACATTACCAATAGTAACAGGAATACCCTTTTTCTTACCGATTGGAAGTGTTTTCATACCAGCACCTTTAATCATATATCGGGCTTTTTGATCAATGACAAAACCAAGAGAATCAAAGAAATCGCCATCAATCAAATCAATATTTGATCCTGTATCAAGAATACCTTTATCAAATTTCACACCATCAATATCACCAGCAATATAAGCTACAGTAGCTTGTGATATTTTGAATCCTTGTTCAGTAAAATTAGCTATCTGCATGGGTTCAGATAAAGTGTCTTCTTTTTCTATAAAAGCTTTTCGGAGTTCAATACGCATAGCAGGAGATACCATTTTTAAAAGATCTGTAATATGTATCTGTGTAGTCATTCCTGCAACTGCTTTATTTGCCAAAGAAGCTGTAGCTTGTCATCTGATTATTCTAGCTTGTGCAAGTTCCTCCTTGCTCATTTTTGGACGTGATACTAAATTATTTTGACCAGAGACAGCTGGCTTTAAACTTTGATTTGAGGAAGTAGTACTTATAGAACCATGTATTAGTTTTTTTTTTATAGGAGAATATCGAGAATTTGTACGTGGAGATTTCTCAGCATTATAGGCAAAATTTTCATAATTGTTTTCATAGAAAGCCGAATTGTTATCATCATAATATTCCTCCCCATTCTCAATCTCATTTTTGTTATATTCACAGCTATTATCCTCATCATCTTCATAGTTGTCCTCATTATACTCAGCAAGATTTGATACTGGATCATTGAGAGACCACCTAGATGCCATGTCACTTAGCATTTCAGAATTTTGGATATCAATTTGCTTCTGCTGAATCTTAGTTAATGTTTTTGGCTTGGGAGAAACTTGTGGTTTATTGGATAAGCAAGCTTTTGATCTAAAATAATTATCACGAGCTTTAAAAAATTCATCAAAGTCAGAATAACCAGCATCTTGTATAAGTTTTAATTGATTATAGGCAAGAATTTCCTCCATAGCTTTTGATGGTACTTTTGGTGGAATTTTTTTTGGTCTGGCACGAGATATTGGATTTCCATTCTCATCTATAGTAAATTCTGCAACTCCTGTAGCTTTGCGTTGGCGTGGATGAGATGCAGATGTAGGTGTAAATTTTATGGGCAATTTCTCTGAAATAGGATTTTGTCCTTGCCAGTTTTGCTGTATTGGTTGGGAAGATATTACTGGAGCTGGTTGCTATATTACTTGTTGGGATGCATTGTTTTGACTAAATGTATATGCTTCAAGTTCTGCCAAATTTCTAAGCTGGTTATCCATTGTTTGAAAAAACATACCACTGGATCGAAGAGTATATTGATTCATTGGTGATAATTCTCTTAACCATTGCTCACGAATTTGTTCGGGAGTCATTCTAGCAAGTTTTCCAATTCTCTGTAACTTTGATACAAATTGTTGAACAGACATAGTACCTTGTACAATTGTACCAAACATGGCAGATTGTTTTAATGCATTAGTTGTTATATAGTTATATCGAAGTTCATATAGTTTTTGTCCAATTGTCATGCCTGGAAGTACTACATTAGCATTTCCTCCTCCATTAACATTTGGTGCTACAACCGCAGTTCCAGCTGGAGCAGGATGGCCACCGGCAATTGACCAATCTTTATCCCAAACTCCTGCAGGAATTATATTAGCTCCCATGATTGTATTATCACCACCAGTATTATTTCGCACTACCAAAGCTTGTCCACGAAATTGGTTAGCGTTAATACCAGTTAAGGCACCATTATTTAATGCTCGAAAAGCTGTTATAGTCGCTGTTCCAGTATTGTCAAGAATATTATCAAGCTGATAATTTCAGTCTTTAATCTCATTTATAAACCAGATTTGTGCATCATCAATTAAGCATGCTTCAAATAATCCATCTGCTTCAGCTCTTCCAGCAACATTTGTAATATCAATTCGACTAGCTAATATATATCTTTTAAATTCTCTAATAAAGTCTTCAGGATCTTCTCCAGCTCTACCACTAAATGTGGGTGGTCCATATCCTACCATATTGTTTCGATGTGGATTATTATTCTGAAGCGCAAAAATTTGTCCTTGCAAATTTAAAATTAATTGTTGTGAATTATGCTCTCTATTTTTTCACTTGATATGACTTGTTTTCCGGTCCTTGAATTTATTATAGTATCTATCAAAGATTCGATCCCTATTATATTCCAATAATCCTTTATCAGCCTGGCATTGTTGCAATTCTCTTTTATATGTTTGATATCGCTGAATTTTAAATTTTAGTATAAGCTTATAAAGTAATAAAGCATCAATGCATGTTTGCATTCCTGTTTCTAATTTTTGAGCTATCCCCCACCAGCGACGACGTTCTACCTGTTCATTATTATAAGCTGTAGTTATTAAAATAAGATCATTCTAAAAATTGTTATACTCTAATGTGAGCTGATTAACTTGATTTTGCAAAGCAATATTCTGTTCCCTATAACCATTAACATCCTCCTGTAACTGGACTATCTGATTATCTCTATCATCTCGTTGATTTGCAATATTATCCACATCCTGATCTAATCTTTGATAATTAACTCGAATATTATTTAAAGAGTCACGAATTCCTCCTAAAATATTGATAGGATTGTTTAATGGAGTTCCAGCTCCTTTAAAGTGATTTTCAAGACAATTCAATCCTCGATCAATTTGTATAAAGAGGTCAAAATTTGCCATATATGTATCTTCTTTTTGATTATATAAATTTGAAGAGTTTCTTTTGAAAGAAATGACTTTAAATCTATACCTTAGATTTTGAATCTGCTTTTCTGATTTGGATGTGGTCTTTGAAATATTTTATTATTATTAATATTAACATGGCATTTTGTGGTATCGCAGAATTAGAACTGATTATAGAGATTGATACTTCTAAAACCGAGAAGGTTGAACAAGAGGTAGTATTGTCAAATTTATACTATCAACCAAATGGGTTTTTTCAAACTCCCAAAAAAATGAAAGATGCTTGTGAGAAAGCTGGTTATAATTTTCTTTTTGCCAACATTTTAAAATGATATAAAAATCGACCACCTCTTTCAGATAAACAACTTGATAAAATTTTACATCCAATTTATTATTCGACATTTCCTGGTCCACGAGCATTATGGGAGAGATTACCTAAAGGTTCGGCTTCATTAGAAAGAGTTCGTAACTGGGTTAATAGCCAATTGATTGGAGAATTACATTGCAGACCACCACGTATAGTATATGCCCATTTTACTAAGCAACGTCCAGATTATTTACACCAAGCTGATATTATGGAAATGCCAAATGATCATGGGCGTCGTTATTCTCTTTGTGTTATAGACTGTGCTTCAAGATATAAGGATGGTCGGGCATTAACACGCAAATTAAGTAGCAAGGTTGCTATGGCATTCGAAGATATTTATAATGATCCAAATTCCTTTCTTAACTGGCCAGTTACTTTGAAAGTAGGTCAAGATACTGAGATGAAAGGTGAAGTTACAATATTATTTGAAAGCCACGGAACACAAATTGAGCATACTGAATTAGGACATTATGTATCTCTGGCTTTTGTAAATTCACTTCATAGCCGGCTTAGACCTCGCTTGTTCAAGGGAATGCAAAGAAAAGAATTAATTGCTAAACGTATTAATAAAGATTGGGTAAAATCATTTCGGCTAACAATTATGGCTATAAATAATGAAAAAACTCGACACATTAATATGAAACCTATAGATGCTCATCTTCTAAAAAAAGTTCCACTAAAATTTCAGTCAGTTCCACCTGAAAATGATTTACTTCCATTAGGTATAATGGTAAGATATGTACTTACCAATGATGATTTTCCATTCCGTAGAAGAAGAGCAACTGATTATCACTGGTCAAAAAATATTTTTCCTATTATACGACGAATCCAAGAACCAGGACAATCTACACTTTACTATATCAAAGGACGAAGGCATGAATTTACTCGATTACAATTGCTTCCTACAAAATTCAGCGCTGATGCCATTCATTACAATGAAGACAAGTAATTCTTATGTTTTGACGATAATGTCCTTCAGCATCATCAAGCCGATCAACCGAAAATGACTGTGGATAATGTTTGGGGTAGCCTTGGAATAAAAGTGGAACACGACATACTTTACAACATTTATTCTGCTGAATTGCAATTCCTATAATGTCTTTTATTGTGAGTGAAGAAATAGCATTTTTCTCATCATTTTCTGCTAGAAAAAGGGGCTTTTCACATACTGTAGAATCTTTAATTAAATCTGATTTATTGTCTACCTCCCAATCCTCGACTATAATAAGTGGCCTTGGAAAATGTCGGTTCTTTCTGCAATCATTCAACTTGTAACGTCTTAATTTTGCTTCAATAATTTGTGGACAAGGAGTTGCTTGAAGTTCAGTCAGCTCAATATATTCGAGTATATCATTTGGCGGTGCAACTTGGATTAATTGATTTATATATCATACTCGACTGCAGGCTGTATATATGGCATTGTTAATTCAACCTTCCAAGCTATGGTCCACAATGAAACAATGTTTTGGAGCCTCGATAGTCTGTCCTTGAATTCGATGAATTGTTCCCCACCCAGCATATTTCTATTTAGCAGGAAGTCCACGCAATACGATTTTAAGTGGCACATTTACTATAGTACCAACATATGCTTCTATAATTTCAATGCTACTCGGAATTTGTACTGGCTTTTCTTGAATACGGTATTTATGTTTGATACTATCATCTGGATCGAAACGAATAATTGAAGGCTCATTGGGAAAGTGTGATGCATGTGCTTGTAATAATGCACTTTCAATTCGCATACCCATATCATTTGTAGAACAGATCCAGATATTATTTGGAGTCCACTGGGCAAGAGCATTTTCCCATGTTGTTTTAGGTATGGCCTTACAAAATTCTAGTAATTGGATAATATCATTTTTCATCCACATACGTAATTTTAATGCCTTGAGTTCGTCATCTTGTGCACTATAGTCTTCTATACACCAGATTACTTCATCAGCCCATTCTGTAAGAAATTTATGTGGACCTTCTTTGTCACCCCATGATGTAAGTTGGCCCGGATCACCACACATTATTATTTGACAACCTTGGCTTTCAGCATAAGATAACAATCTCTGTAATACTTTTTTAGGTATCATACATGCTTCATCGAAGATTAGTATTTCGGCAAGCGTCTTTTTTCCAAGACATACAGGATCCCACTCATTGATTGCAGTTGCTCCCAAATGAAAATACTTATGATACGTCATGGCCGTTAAGCCTGGATTTTGTTTTCTATGATACTCAGCAAGTAAGTTTGCTGGAGTGAGAACCACAATTTTTCGATTGGAAAATACATGGATAGCTCGTATTGTTTTTCCACTTCCTCCCTGGCCAACTAAGTATGGTTTTCATATTGTAATAAGTTTTGAATCAGTAGAAAGAGGTGGAGCTTCACTTGGAGGAAACTCTATGAGCCTTTATAATTTATGCTTCAGGATGATGCTTCTTTACAATAAATATAACCTGGCTTTTTCTTGCGCCATTGACTATACTTAATCATTGGAGTATCTATAACGATTATGGATTCAGCATGCTTTTCTCTTTTATTAAATTCATTTTTAATCTCTGTAGTGTCTATATTTTTTTCTTCTAGATTAAAAATCTTGTCATAGCTTTCTTTATCCAAAATAGTTTCAGGAATTGCTGTTATGTAAATTGCGTCAGTACATACTCACAATACATTTTCAATTGGGAAGCGCTTCAGTTGTTTGAGGACAGCAATATGAATATAGGCAAGGACAAAGAAGCGAATATGCAACCATTGAGCACGTTTTTTATCCCCCTCATACTTGATTAGAGTTCCATACTCATTACTTGTTCGGTTTGGCTGACATTTTTTTCTTACTAGCCATTGATTAATCATATCTGCTTCATTTTTGTTACGAATTAAAACAGATGTAACTTGTGCATTACAAGCACATGATTCTACGAAACGAACTGCTAAATCACGATCAGGTGGAAATTCAATCTGAGACTTTTTGCCAACACTATATATAATTTCTCTTGGGGTTGCACTTATGAACCATCCAGCACTAAGCAGGTAATCTATAAAAGGTGTCGGAATCCAGCCTTCCTTTTCTGTGAGATGTTGCCCAATAAGTCCAGCAGTAAATGAGTGCAAGCCTTGAGAAAATTCCCATATTACTAGCTGGACAATGCCAGTCAAAGAACGGATAGATTCGATATTATCAACACAGGCACGACGTTGTATTTGTTCTGAAAAGCCATATTGCCTTACCCAAGGTAATGCTTCTGATGCACTCCGTTCTGAATCTTCGCAACCAAGATATGCTCCGCGAAGATCAATATGAATGTGTTTGGGGGTGAATCTATTGGGGCATTCCATACCATTGATTCTACTTGAGATTGTTGCCAAATTTCAACAACATTTCTAGATGTAGGCTCAATACCTTCTCTTTCTCGCCAGCAACAAAATCGATAAGATTGTGCACCTTCCAGGAATTTTTCAAGTTCATTATATTTCACTTTAAGCTCTTGTGAAAAATCTGGGACTTCTTCAAGTTCTTCTAACCATGCACATGCTACTTCGGCCCACATATCAGTTTGTAATAAACTTTTTGGAATAGAATCTACATTCTCATTTACAAAAGCCTCAAACAATTTTTTCGTTCATGAGAGCTACGATAGAGAATGCCTTCATGTGTTAAAATTTCTTTACCTATAATCCATATTCTTGTAGCTTTTGGGAGTTCTCTGGCAACAAATGATATAAGTGCTTCTGCAATTTTTTTATCGTCGATGTTGACCTTTCCTTCCTTAGTTTTGATACATGCGGAAGCAAGTGCTCTTTCACATTCTAAATCCATATTACAAACTGAAGATACTTGTGGCATTTCAGGAATACTGCTCTTCCAAGTATGGTTTTTATAACAAAATACAGTTAATGTACTACGTTTTTTATATTTACCGCTATTCCACATTTCATTGCCTAAGATATCTTTAATGATAATTTTCATTCCTAAACCCCCATCCTTTTCATTCTTTTCGAGAATATGTAAGTCCTTCAAATTACAACCTGGTTTCAGAACTTTTTCATTAAATTCTGCAAGGGCCCTTTTATGAGCTGGCATTAGCCCTTTAGCCCACTTTGTTCCTCCTTGCTCAATTTGTTATTGTAATTCTGTAACAATACAGTTTATATCACCATTGTAGAATGGACCTGGTGAACCCTATGGTATTGGAACTGGCCGAAGTTCATAACAAATATGTGATACATATTCACGAGTCTTTGTCCATAGATATTCATCAATTCCTATAAGTTGTCCTGGAGTAATTTCTTCTCCAGTGAGACTGCCGGCCTTTTTTTTTTCACAAAATGCCATCCTTTATCTGCAATTTCTTTTTCCACAGTTCCACCAGCCATCCAGATTTTAGTAAAAAGCGTGTATTCTGTAGCATAATGAAGAAGAAACTTAATTTCTGATGCCATTTTGTAATTTACACGAACTGGCAATTGAGTATGCCACCAAATTGTTCCATCTTCATGAATACCTGGACCAAATAAATCTTGACGTGGATGTGCCATAAACTGGTAATGCAATTCATATAGCTGTTCTTCCCATTTTTCTTTTGCCCCATCCTCAATATCTTGTTGTAACGTAAGAAGACTTACTCACCATTCAATCTGATCTAATTGTAAAAGTCTATTGATATTTATCTTTCCTATACAATATTCATTAAATGATAATATCCATCCATGAGGCTCCATTTTTCATTCATATTTTTCTTCTGGAACCCATTCCTCTTTTGAACCTATAGGTATACCATTATTATCAAATTGCACTAGTTTTTCTATTCTACCTATTTCCCAACTATTAACAATTCCAACAATATATTCCTTATTATTATTTATCAAGTCCTAAACTTTTTTTGCATATTTATATGTAATATGTGATTTATATGCGTCAGAAGAAAGTTCCCAATACTCTCTTCCAAGATTATCTTGCTTCTTCTGGGGTACTAATTTTGAAATATGCCTTGAGAACCATGTAATTGATCTATCTATATGTCAAACCGGATCTTCTTTTCCTAACTATAAATGTTTATCTGCCCATTCATCAAATGTAGAAGGAACCGGATTTGATTCTCTTGGCTTATAACCTTTTTCTGGCCCAGCTAACCAGTTAGCTAACTTGTCGATGGAATTTATTTCTGATTGGTAATTAGCTTTCTTTTCGAGATTTCTAATTTCTTCTTGATATTGAGTTAAAATAGCATTAGAACGTGGATAGAGTATCAAGTTCAATGCTACTCCTTTGCGAATGCTTGCTTGATTGGCTTGTCTAGATGATATTGTTATATACTAAACCTAGATATTTTCTTAAAACTATATTTTTTATTCAATTATGATTTCTCTATCTATATATACATTGAAACACTATTATAAAATTTATTCTAGCTAAAAGAAAAGGCATATACAGTTACCTATATTTTTCTTTTTTTTCTTGTATAATTCAACCATAAGGAGGCGGGTTTCTGAGCATTAGAAAGCAATATGCTAACTAGATGCTCCACTACACTTCACAACTACGTCGCACACACCTAAGGATATATGCTCCTTAGTTATAGAAAGCTAAATTGTTGTTAAAATAGATAACTATGCTTTGCTACGCTTCGCATCCGGAGTCGCTATGCTCCTCTGTAACAGAAAACTAAATAGTAATTAAAAAGATAGCATATATTTAGATATACAATATATTTTTTATATAACAAAAATAAGGCCTAAAAAGTAAAACGTACATTATCGAAATTAAGTTTTTGGAATCTCCAGCTAGGCAAAAAATAATACTATAGTAGAAGGCAAGCAAAAGCCAGCTAGGCGCAGTAATCACTTAAGTAGGAAACTCCTCTTTTCCCCTTCAGTTCAACTCCATGTGAGGGTGATTGAATAGAAATTAATATGGTATCTGGTGCTATAACCTGTATAAGCACTGTTTTTCATAAGAAGCCATTTCACACGCTGATCCAAATGGGCGCTGATATTGTAATTTCCAGAAAAAGGCGTTGTGGTGCAATAATCGTTCAGTTGGTGTTACAAGGATTGCCAAAAGTTGCAAGGAGTATGAGGTGTCCGCTTTCGGTAAAAGATGGCTTGGTGATTGTTTTCCTGTGGTACCTGGTGTCTCTTTCTACCTATTCCAATCCAGTAATAAATCACTCCGACAGTTACTTATCCCAAAAAGGTGACCCAGCAGTAAGACCGCTAGGTAATCTTGTGGATACCTAAATGGACAATAAGCCTAGTGACATAAGTTCCATGGACATTCTTGGGTAACTTGAGGAGGGTGGAAATTAAATGGAAATCAGTGCATCCAGCTGCAGGTGGTCGGATCTGGAAAGATTAAATTGTAAGGTTCTATTCGCCAAATATAAATACTATCCCCAGTGCCCCAAAAATTTTAAATTCCCCTTAATTTCACATAGTATCAAATAGAACATCTAGTTATACTAATAGGATATATTGCGGTAAGACTTGAGTCAGCAATACATTATAAGTAGGCTGCACCCGGATGGTATACCTGTGGGTGAATTCTAATTGAGAGATTGTAAGTGTAGACAGAAATATACAATATATGTTGTTTACAGCACAATTAATAAATTAGAGTAAAGCTTACTCGCAATACTTTATAAATAATAATTAATGACATCACACACATTCTTAGAGAAATCCAATAGCAACTGAATGATATCAAATACCAAGTTGCAGATCTGAACAAATGTATTACTAACTTAGAATACTGCAATGAAGAATTCTACGAATCCATGGAAAGTGAACAGATACAAAACTTGCAGGAGCCATTATCCATACCCCACTCCAACAACACACAAACAATATCCAATGATAGCTTTGAAGATCTCAGAAATACCCAGACTCAACTCTTTTTCTTCATTGATGAAATGCAAAACAAAATAAACCAAATTTTCTCAACAATGGATATACTAGTGCAAACCTCAACAAAAAACAATAACAACCAACAATAATTATGGATAATACATATAGCAACTATAACAATAACGGAAATATAAATACAAACACCACAAGCAACCTATAAATCAATGAACTTAACAACCAACCCCTAACAACACAACAGCTCAAAACAATATAAACATAGTTAGACTCAGACTCCAACCACTGCAATGAAGAACCACATGCACAGCAGCACATAACAACAAGTACAACTGCAAACAACACTTTCAACACAACCAAAAACTTGAATTGTGAGACAATATCCAATACAAACAACAACCCACTTTCATTAGAACTCAACAACAATACAAAATCAACAGACACACAACTCAACACAGCAATAAAAAACACAACCCCATCACAAAAACAACAAATCCAACATCTCAAATCTTACAACAACAAGACACACCTGGAAACTTCTCACAACCAATATCAAAGGTCTCAAATCAAGCTCAAGAAAGCTACAACTCTGGACAGAATAGATTAACAAGCACCAACCAAATATTCTCACCTTCACAGAAATGAATATAAGCAACAGAAAAGGCAACTTCATTTACTTCAACAACTACCAGATCACCTGGAGCAATGAAAGTCACCAATTCAAGGGATTTGGAGTCACACTACTAATAGAAAAAAGCCTAGCAAAACACATCTTTAAAAAACAGACCTGGAAGGACAGAATCATCACGATCAATCTCCTTTTCAAGTTTAAAAGAAAACTCAGAATAATCGCTATTTATCTTCCATCTCAAGCCCATGCTGCTTATCAAGAATGCACCCAAGAAATCACAAAGCTCATCAATGAAGCAAAAACATCAAATAGCCACACAATAATACTAGGATACTTTAACTCAGTCACCAACTCCAGCATAGACATGCCCAAATCAAAATTCTCAAAAGTAAAACAATATGCACCAACAGGAAAACTGATCCAATGGTTAGCAACCAATCAGTTTATTGACACTTTTAAAAAAACCAACCCATATAATATGCAACACACATGGAGCAACCAAGATGGAATAGTTAGCAGAATAGATCAAATCTGGATCTTCCCATCACTACTTTAGCTTCTCACAGAAGCATATATACAAGAAATCAATAAAGAAATACTGGAAACTGATCACAATTCCACTAGCTGCACAATACAACACTGGAACACTGAACCTTTAGAAACCCACAGAATAAGATCACAACCTAACAACAGATACAAATGACATAACACATCCCAGAAAAAATAGAAAGATTCCAGTGATTTCATTCAAATCAAACTTCAACAATCATGGGCTGAGTTGGAGACATCACATGACAAAGTGAATAAAAAGTGAAACTTATTTAGAGATGCGATACTACAAAGCGTCACCCTTCACATCAAAAGATACAAGAAAAGAAAAAGATTACCAAAACTACTTAATCTCTCCACAGACATCCTGCGCAAACTTTTCAAACTGCAGTTACTAGGAAAACAACTTCTAAACAACAATCAACCAGAAACCCACATCCTAAACAAAATCAAGAACATATCAAACAAACTCATCAACAGACATTCACTCACAATAGACCCTTTAACCAAACCCCTCTGCCGACTATCATCACAGACTAAATTCAAAAAATCAAAAACACAAGAAATACTCACAAAACAACTTTCAATAAACTGTATAGAAACAAGCAAACAGAAGCAATTAATAAATAACTTTTAAGAAAACAAATATATTTCAACACCAACAAGAAACAAATGAACAGAAACTTACTTGATGACACATGAAGATACATCACATTGGACCAGTTAATCACAAATACACCAGAAGAAGAAATAATTACAGATCCAGAAAAAATTAAAGAAGCAGTCAGTACACATTACCAAAAATGGACCAGCAAGCGAAACACCAAAGCCATCAAGTTTACAGTGTAGGAGGAGAAATACAAACCAATACAACAAGTTAATGAGAACTGATACACCAGGACTACTGCATCTATTACAATGGAAGAACTCCAAAAGATTATCAAAAACAGCTCCACAAAACCAGCACCAGGACCAATGGGAATATCCTACATTGTACTTAAAAAACTAACTAAAGAATCAAGTACTTACAGTATATCTTAAACCTCTTCAACAATATTCTACAAACAGAAAAGATGTCTAATGAATGGAGAACAGTCAGCATATATCCAATACCTAAGCCTAAAGCATAGGAGAACAACATCAACATAACAAGACCAATCATCTTTCTAAAAACAACACGAAAGATTTTCATAAAATTGCTTAACAATCAATTAGCTAAAGTACTTACCAACCACCAAATCCTCTCCAAATACAACTGGGCAGCCCTCTCAGGATGCAGCACACAAGAACCTATTCACATCCTTAGAGCTATTCAGGATGATGCAAAACAAAACTCTAAACAAGCCTGGATTCTAAGCCTGGACATGGCAAAAGCCTTTGACTCAATTAGCATTCAAAGACTTGAACTGGTATTACAATAAATCAAATGCCCAAGCATTATCATCCAGATCATTACCAATATCTGTGACAATAAGCAAAACCACATCCTTATATTCTTTGAACCATTACCACAATATATAGTAAAGGATGGGATAAATCAAGAAGATACTATTTCACCTCTACTCTGGAGAATTTTCTATAATCTACTTATTACTTTTATTTCAAGAACAAGAAAAGAATATACTCTCACAATAAAAAGATAGAAAGAATCTACATCCCCATTAACAACAGAAATACAAATCTCCTGCCTAGCATTCATGGATGATACAACTCTAATAGCAAATAGTCAAAAGAGACTACAAAAAATCAGCAATATCTGCTTAGATTTCTTCACAACAAATGATATCCACATCAACATGTTCAAGTCAAATTTAATAATTCTCAACTCTACACATAGCCTGAATAACAAGATCGCAATCCAAAACCAATTGATTACAATGCTATTACCAAATTAAGCAGCCGGAATACTTGGAATTTATCTCAAAAACAAAGGATCAAAATCCTTTCAACAATAACTCATCAGAGAAAAAACACTGAAGTATGCTAATACAATTAAATGGAAAGTGACAACAGATAAACAAATAAGATATCTCCACAACCAGGTTTGGATTCCATCAATTACATATCTCCTTTCTGACTTAATCCTTACAGAACAAAACTGCAACAAAATTATGAGTATACTCAATCCCATATACAAATATAAACTCAATTTGGCCAAATCGACATCAAATGCAATGCTATACAACCCTCTAAAATATGGCTTCTTTCACCTTTGGGACAGACAACTACTACTCTATGCAAACAATTGGTACAAA